CAGAGGCGAGTGAGAAATGGGATAGGGACTTGTTCGCTGTAACTAGGATACAGTCAGGGACCTGAGCGTCAGAGATGAGCCCCGTGTCTGGTACGGAGGGATCTGGTCACAACTGGAAGGGCAACAGATCGATTTGGTGCTGGGCCACCAGCAATGCAGATCCTTTGGTTCTCAAAGCCTGGCAGAAGAGCTGCCCCCCCCTGATATGCCCTCTGCCTGGAATGGCCTTCCTACCATGGTCACCTGCTGACCTCATACATTCTTTAAGACTCAGCTCAGTTGTCCCCTCTCCTGAGGCACTTAGCTGATGGATTTCATTTTGGCAGCACGCTCCCTCTTATTTATTAGCTGAGTTAATTATATCCCTCTTGTAGGCTCCCATGACACTGTGTTCATAGTGTAGCTCATTGAGATTGTTACTATAGGAAAGAATTTTATCTTTTTTTTTTTTTTTTAACATAAACTAGGAAGTCTATTAGACTCAGTTTGTATTTTGGCTCCACCACTTCCTAGCTCTGTGGCCAAGAGAGAAGAGCAGCTCTTGCACCTCTGTTCTTTAGCCTTCTCATATGCAGGACGGGGTCAGAATTTGCTTCCTACTGTATCAGGTTTTACTGATGAGCAAAAGAAGAAAGAGGGGGAGGAGGAAAGAAAGAAGAAATGGTGTCTATAGAAGAACACTGTATGTCTCTTCTAGCACTTGATTTGGTTGCCAGCAAACAGGCTCCAATTACAGCTAACATAGGAAGAAAATTCACAGCAGGAAAAAAAATAATGAATCGAACAAAGCCTCAGAGGAGACAGGGCTTCAGTGAGGATCTGGAGAACAGGAACCAGAGGACAGTGACATGCATCAGGATGCTACTTACAAAACAAATAAGATCCAGAAATCTTTGCCTGTAGGTCATTCCAGTGGTGGTAAATTCCACAGTGAAAGAATTGACCTGGTCAAGTCTGGGTCACATGCCTACACGTTGGGGCGTACTCTCCTGTCCTCCAAGGGTAGTCCTCTGCTCAACCTTGCCCATTCATATCCAGCCAGCAACCTTCTGGCTTTTCAAATATGATTCTCCTCGCAAATCAATGCAGTGCTATTGATTCAGACTCAGAATTTAAAAAGAAAGTGCTGGAGAGAGGGGGGAAATCTGAATGAGAATTGGATTTTAAATAGCGTGAAGGAATTATTATGAACTTGTTAGTATGAAAATCCATCACGCTTATGGTTTTTGTGCAATGCTATTCTGTGAGAGGTTCTCACCGAAATGGTTCAGAGTGACATTATCATTATCCCTGAACTAGAGTAACCACTTTGTGTTATGGCTGTGTATGCTGCTTCTGTCTTATGCTTATGGTCTTAGAAGAAAAGCCTGCTCATCCTCAGTGTCTTTGTATGACGGTGATGTGATAGAATTGAACACCTTTTGAACCAAACAGGCCATCCCTTAGCTGCTGATTCTATGGACTGATCCAAACGTTTCTGTTTGGCACTTACTTTCTGTAGTTCTCTTTAACCTAAAAATGGAGAGAAAAGCAAAATGGGGAATTCTTACACAGTGTCTGGCTCATAGAGGGCTCTAGATAAATGGTTACTATTGTTGTTATCAATGCTGTCATTATTTTCCCTAATTTCCCCATCATCTTTCTCAATGTCTGGTGCCAATCAGGTATTCAATATTTGATAAGAGAATAATTTCCAGTTATAAATAAATTCATGTACACCTATGATTTGTTTGATTGACTGACGGTCTGTTGACCATGATGTTCATTGCTGTACTCTCAACAATTTACAAAACCAATCTTTTGGACAGCAAATATCCATTGAGTACAAAGTGTGTATATGTTTAAGGTAGAGGTGAAATAGAAGCATAGAATCTTGGGATGAAAACAGGCTAGGGGTTCTATTAGTATGAGCAGGGACTCAGCTAGGAGATCCCTACTCTGAGAAAGATTCTTCTTCCTAAACAGCTCTAACTTTATTCATTTAGTCTAAGATCTATCACCTGCTGCCCATAGATGCTGGCTTTGCTCTTTTGAAGGCATAGAGAACACATATGTCCACATATGTTAGTGACCTAATGATTACACCAGTCTTGTTTCTCAGCGTGTTTATTAGCATTGCTGAGATAGCTGCCATTACTGAGGGCTTAGCTTCCTGTACAAATGCTGATATACAAATCTGGCTGGAGAGACAGCCAGAAAGAGGATCTGGTTAACAGCATTCTCAACAGAGTCAAAGGAGCCAAACTCAGGTGTAGCCTATTCTGCAAGCAGAGCTCTGAAGCTGCGTCCATGGTGGCATCCATGAGAGGATGAGCTGGGACTGTTTAAATGGAAGAATGCTGAGCACACCCCATCACACGGCAGGAGCTCCCTCAACAATCAGGATCCTGGTTCTACCCTTTAGTCTCACTGTGAACCTTCTTGGGTTATCTTCATAGATAGAGTGAGTCAGTCAGAGATTTAAAAAAAAAAAGGGGGGGGATTTCAGGTGTGGTGGCACAAGCAAGGCCTTTGTCCTCAGGCTCCAGAGGCAGAGGCAGGATGATTTTTGTGAGTTCAAGGCCAGCCTGGTCTACGTAGTCACTTGCATGACAACAAAGATTTAAAAAAAAGGAAATAGCCACCACCACCTGGCTGAATGAGATGAAGGTTGACAGAACAGTTCATCTCAGCCCCTCAGCAGCTGGCGTGGCCCTCCTTCCTCCCTGTAATCCCCCCATCACAAAGAATGGACCACTCTCTTCTGTTTCCTCTTCCCTGCCCCTTCCCACTTCCTGTGGCTCCTCTTTACTGCCTCCTTTTCCCTCCTGCCTCTCCAGTGCTCTAAGAGGCCATTTGTTATTAGTTTACCCATTTTCATCCAATGAAAAGTCTCTGTTGCTAGCACTCTCTCCCTTCTAGGCCACTTCACCAGCTTGGTGCTCAGAGCAGTGATCAGGATAAAACAAAGGAAAGCAATGAGAGAACACCCAAAATATCACAAATGTAGTCTTGGTGAAGGTCAAATTCAAAGATTGTTCATCCCACTGTCCAAAGAAGGCTCTGTTAAACAATGTCGTTCGCATCTTCTGCATTTATTCTTCTGCTCAGAAGAATCCTGCATCCTCTTGATCTTTACAGATAGCTCAAATTCCATCACACTCTTCAAGCTTGTTTAATAAAGTACGGTTTCACAGGGCCTCAGTGGCTGGAATTTGCTGAGTTCGTATCGTACACAGGCAACGTACCAGGCACTATTTTTGTCTTACCATCACAGGAGAGCCCTTCTAGCAAAGTGTCGGTAGCTCCACCTCATCCAAAAGGATCTAGTTTAGGTAGCTCACATCACTTTATCCTTGCTATGCGGCAGAAGTTCTCAACTTGTGGGTCACAACCCCTCTGGGGATCAAACGACTCACGGGAGCCACTTAATAGCATCGTACATGATGTTTCTTAACAGTAATAAAATTGCAGCTATGAAGTAGCAAAAAAGTAATCTTATGGTTGGGGGTGGTCACCATAACATGAGGAACTGTATTAAAGGGTTGGGAGATTGAGAACCACTGCCATGCAGGAATTCAGTGACGACAGAGGAGGGATTAGCAATGATAAGATTTTTTTTTTAAATAATTTGCACTTGGTATCTAATTTCGACTCTCCAAAATTCTAAGTACAATCATCACACTTACCTTGATGTAAAGATACAATCCGAGTAACTTGCCCGAGACCATACATCAAATAAACAGAGGTAACCTTCTAGATTTTTCTTACTCATAACGTTTTCCCCATCACGTCTCATTCCCTTCCCCGCCTTCGTATTCCTCAAAACCTAAGTCTCCCCAGCCATCATTAATCACACTTAGCAGTGAGCTAAACCCGGTTAAGCACAAATATGCCAGATTTACTCTCATTCTGGAGCCTCCAAGTCAACACACAGAGGTGGCATTTTCCAAACGATCTTAACATTTCTGTGATGAATTCTTCTACAGCCTTCTCAGCTGCATTATTGAGTCACATACTTTATTAACAATAAAGGAAAACAGAAACAAGCGCCGAAGCGCCACGATGATTTCCAGGCCTGAAAATGCTCGTGCCCCACAACGTTCTTTTTGAGGATGCAGGCTGTGTGAGTTGTCCTAGGACACTGTCACTCGTGTATACTTTAACAAGAAAGTTCTAGAACACAAAAAATGCTGGGACTCAGGTTCGCTCGCTTGTACCTGGCACAGAGCCCCGGTCCTCTCTGGAAAGCTTTCAGCACGATGTCATGCAAACAAAGGTTGACAGCCTCAGCTTCCCTCCCTTTCCACCTCAGAGCTAAAAGGAACTTAGAATCTGCAGGCTCACAGACAGTACAAGGAAAAATCTTAGAAAAGGCATGGGGACGGGGGCTCAGAGGACCCTGATTTGCATGAGAAAAGACCCAGACTTCACAGCTCTACGGAGCTTGGCTTCTAGCCAAGGGAAACCCAAGCTCCTCTGAGAAAAGGGAAGGAATGGGGCCTAACTGTAAGTCTCTGTGAGATGGGGTAAGGTGGGCCTGGAGTCCGCCCCACCCCCATCCCCTCACAGCAACTCTGAGAACCTCTGGGCCAGCAACAAGCCTTGAGGTTCAGATCTGTCCTGCTTACTCAGCCTGTCACCGGTGCGCTTGGCTCTGAGCTCTTAACTGGGCTCCCTCCTGAAGATGTCCGGGGCATTCTGAGCTCTTAGCTCATGGGGCAGCGAAAGAGCCACATATGCACACATGTGCACACACACACACACACACACACACACACACACACACACACACACACACACGGTGCTTGCACAGGGACCCATGTTGAGTCTCCCTTTAACTCAGGTTTTGCTCCGCAGGCGATTTCGCATGTAGGTATGTGTGTGAGCATGAGGTGGTGTGCACAATGTAGCAACAAAAGCAGAGACGGCCGGCTCCTTAAACGCTGTCTTTGAGGAAATAAAATTATGCCAAGAGAAGGAAGTTGAGCCTGAAGAAACACTCCTGTACTGTCTTTCAGGTTCTACATCGAGAGCATATCCTTTCTAAAGGACAAGAACACGGTGGAGCTGTTTTTCCTGAACGCGAAGGCCTGTGTGCACAAGGTAAGGCCCTTGTTTGTGTCTTCGTGGTTTGTTTCCCCAGCGACTGAGACATGGCCTTGCCTGCTGGCTCACATCCAAACTGAGGAAAGAAGACAGCCTCTCTCCTTGATATCCACTCCCCAATCCATACCTCCCCAGCTCCTCTCCCCAACTCGCCCCTCCCCAGCCGGGCTCTCCACCCCACCCCACCCCACCACAGCCCCTCTTCAGAAGCTGAATGGTGAGCTGATCTCCACTCAGTCACTGCGTCAAAGGTAGCTGAGGCTCCACGTGGAAATGACCGAGAAAGAAAGATGGATCCAGTCAGACTGTGGGAAGCCTCTTCGTTGTAACACTTACCATCGTTCTAAACACAGTCCCAGTTTCCGTTCAACCTGCCAGCCCCTCATGCCTCCTCCACCTTAGCTCCAAAGAAACAGAGCGGGTAGCGCAAGCTTGAGCTCAGCTCCACTGACTGCTTTCAGTAGATCTCTTTAAATGAGGGCCAGCAGGGGTTTTTGTTGTTGTAGTTCTTTACTGAATTTCATAAAAGCAACCTATCCTTGATGGATAGAAATAAAGCAAATAAAAACAACAACAACAACAAAAATGTCCACACTGAGGTGCTGTGGCCAAGTTGAAATACCAGCCTCCGGGAGTTTGGTTTGGTTTGCTTTGATTTTGTATGGGGAGGGTGTGGCCCTAGGGGTGGATTGGTTGGGTTTTGGGGCGGAGCTTTGCTGTGCATTTGCAGCCCGGGCTCTTTTTTTTTTTTTTTAACCTGTATTTATTTGTGTTGTGTGTGTTAAGGAGCAGGGTTGCACATCCACAGCACACAGCACAGATGACAACTGTCTCTCCTCTTTGACATGCATGACAGGGATAGAACTCAAGATCCTCAGACTTGGCAGCGAGTCAGCTCCCTGGCCCGAAAACTCTGTCTCTTAACTGAGGGTATTTATTCTAGTTACATATGCTATGGTTACTGATGGGGGAGCTGGGTCTAAGTCTCTCACCTTCCTATTTTTTTTTCTTTACATTTTTTCTGACTTCTTATGAATTTGGCACACACAAGCGAGAGAGAGAGCATGTGATGTGTGCAGAGTGAGTGACCACACGTGCCTACAATAGCACACATATCTATGGAATTCAGAGGACAACCTTGGGAGCTGATCCTCACCTCCCACCTTATTTGAGACAGTGTTCACCGTTCTGTGCCTGCCAGGCCAGCTGGCCCCTCTGTCTCTGGACAGGCACTCTCTTCCTCCCATCTCATAGGAGCCCTGGAATCACACGCACCACTGTACCTGGCTTTCCATGCGTCCTGAGGATTAGTTTGCATGGCAAGGGATTTACCATCTACCCAGCCTCTTATCGAGTGTTTCATAATTCCATTTTCCCTCCTTTGTCGGCTTAGCTCTCTTTGTTTTGCTCCTGTCGTGACTGCTTTAGAGTTTATGGTCTGCGTCTTCAGTGTACCACATCTGTCTCAGAGTGACGTGCCAGCATTTCAGACATTGTATAAGACCCTTCTGCTTCTCAGGGGAGGTGGTTCCCATCATGCCTCACTTTGGGCTGTGCCGACATCATTACTTTTGTGTAAAAGTTTGATCCCCTTTGAAGATATTTAAATACTATAAAAACATCTTTAGCAGTACAGCCCCCATTTCTGTCTGTCTTCATTCTTTTCTGCCCGACGTATCTTTCTTGTACCTGACAGACACTGGGTAGCATTCCCCATTGTGTGAGAATACGGCTGGTGCTGTATTCTTGCTTCTTTCTGAAAGCACTGGCCTTTGTCTTCAGTGTTCGAATGACAATTCGTAGGATGTAAAATTGTACATTGGTGGTTTTTGTTTTTGTTTTTCATTTCTGCAAAGATAGCCATTCACTATGGTTTTGCTTATGTTGTTGCTGATAAATCGTCTGCTGTCACACCAAGTCTTTGTGGTTCAGCCTGTGCCAGGTCTTTTATTTTCCTCTCTAGCTGCTTTTCTAAGTTTCCACGTTAAACAATTTGATTATCACATACCTTGATACAGCTTTCTTAGTGTTTCTGGTAACCTAATTGCCTTGGGTTTTTATGTTTACTGTTTATATTAAATTTAGGAAGGGGTGTGGTATTTATGTGTACTTAGGTGCATGTGGGTCATACGTGTCCTGGTACATGTGCCTGTATGCACCTGTGCATGCAGAGATCAGAGGACAACGTTGGGTGTCTTTCCTCAGGAACCACCCACCTGGTACTTTGAGATACAGTTTCTCACCAGCACCTAGAACTCACCAGCTTTCGGCTGAGTTGGGTGACCAATAATCTCTGTGTGACTTCTTTTTGTATGTGACTCCAGACACCTAGGTATATGAAATAGCTATAGAAATTATTGATAACAAATCATATAGAGATTCATTTTAAAACAATTTTTTTGGTATACACACATTTTACCATTTTTTTAAAGCTGAAAGTGAATTTGCATGCTAATGAGATGCTAATGAGATGGATGTCTGTTTATTTTTACGTGCAGAATGCAATCTTGGCTGAGTATTTGACACTGTCGGATGCAGGAAACCTTCAAATTTTTTTCATAGTTGATCAACGTTTTGATTTTATAGTTGTCAGTGCTAAGAACACTCTTTCATGCAAGTATGGAATTCAAGTGGCACAAGTGTGTTTAGGGGCATTTGAGAAATTTGGTCCCAATCACAAGTAGAACTCCACGACCCTACCTTTTATGAAACTCAAGCCCTCAACTCAAACATCAGTGTTTAAAATCCAGTGTTCTCATACAGTGCAATCCACAGATACACTAATCTGATACTTACATGCTGAGGAATCGTGGTAGGAAAGTACTGGAAATCTCTGTTCTCCATTAAAAAAAAAAAAAATTGCTCTACTTCTGTAAGAGAAGAGACGTTTGCACATACGTTAAAAAGCACCACAGCTCCCAGCACTCGGCATTGACAACTGTGGGTCATCTGGTTCCAGGCATTGTTAGCCGGCGTGTTGCTGTGTCAGGTGTACGCAGAGCAAGGTAGGCATGTTCCATGTCGAGTGTCCAGAACTGAGCCTGCCTGGGGTCACGTGGCGCAATGCCACACAGGCGCGAGCTGCCCGAAATGGCTGGCTCCCTATGCATTCGATTGCGAATCAGGCTCTGGTGGTGGCACATTCGGAGACATTTTACTGTTGCTAGACTTTTATTTTTTATTTTTGTTTTTTTCAGACGCCACATTCGGTCATGGTACCCCACTTAGGGTTGTGGTCACAGTCTCGAGAGCCGGTACTAGGCCATTAGAAGTGACTCTGGGATCTAAGTTGTTCTGTTGTTTTCTTTTGGGTTGGGGGTATTTGGGTTGGGTTGGGTTGGGGTTGGGTTGGGTGTTTCGTTGTCTGTTTTGCCTGTGTGAGCATGTGTGTGTGCACATGGGGAGTGGTGGGGGCAGCTGTGTGTGTGCACGCTTGTGTGTGAGGATTGTTCATGTGTATGTGCGTGTGCATGCTTGCGTGTGCATGCTTGCTTGTGCATGCTTGTGTGTGTGTGTTATCTTCTGTAATTTTTTTGTTTGTTGTTTCTGCCTCTTCAATTCCACCCTTCTTTTGCACCCTAATGTTCATTAATCACATCTGGTGTATTTGAGTATTTATTGTTGGAAGGATTTTTAAAAATCATTATATATATATATATATATATATATATATATATATATATATATATATAACTTCAGATTATATAAAGTGTAATTGTATTAACATTTCTGTATTCTCAGCTGCTTAGACTTATTTTTATCCCCATCCTGAGTGGCTTGGGTTGATTTCATTTTCTCTACTGACCATGTTTTAGCAGCCTGATGATATGTGGTTACATGCTCGATGTTTGTATCTTTTTAAAAGTTTTAAATTTTTTATTTTTAATTATATGCATATGGTGATCTGCCTGTCGTGGGTGCAGGTCCTCTGGGAGAGCAGCCAGTGCTCTTAACTGCTGAGTAGTCTTTCCAACCCCTGGATGTTACTAATTTTATCTTTTTGAATGCTACTTGCTTCTGTCCACACGTAAATATCCTTTGTATTTGTTTCTGGATGCAGTTTAGCTATTAGGATACTAATATGTTTGTTTGTTTGTTTGTTTGTTTGTTTGTTTGTTTGTTTCTGACTTGCTTTTAAGATTTGGTAGGCGGGCCCGGAGCAGAACTAAGTCACTCTACTGCAAACTAGCTATTTCCCATTGCGGAGGCAAGAATTGCCTGGCTCTGCTTCCCAGTGCTCCAGGAACCACAAGGTTCCCTGGTCTGCCTGGGTCCCAGGCATTTGCAGTTCCACATGAGGACCATGCAATGTTCCCTCCCGGCCTTTCACGGGGTTCCCGGCGGCGTCAGGCAGTCCTTCTTGCACAGGGGTTGGTAGTCTGCTCAGCACCTACAGGGCCCCTCTCTCCGGTCTTCCAGGGCCCTCCCTCTTCCTCTGGAGCTCTGTTGTTCGAACTTTTTTCATTTCAGTTCTTCCGGTTTCCAGCTCCTCATCTGAAGGTGTCTGCTGCTTTCCCTGTGTTCACAGTCTGGAAGCCTCAGCAGGAAGCAGGGGCGTTATGACACTTGTCTTGTTCAAGGAATGCTCAATGTTGTGAAAACTGTTGAGATTTTTTTTTTTTTTTTTTTTTTTTTTTGAGGAGGATGGTGGGCTTTTTCAAATAAGAGAACATATTCTATTCCTGTTACTCTTGGCTGGAAGGGGAAGTATTCAAAGAAGAATCTTTGGCTACTTCTATGAAAAAACTCAAATGTCCCCACTACCAAAATTCTACTATCGCCCTCTCTTTTGAGGTTCAAGTGTCCCTAATCCTTGACTGGTGAGTCAACCCCTATACCCAAATGTAGCATTTACGAAGTTGGGAAGGTATCTTGTAACCACACTGGTCATCCTTCCCTGTGCGGAGGAACACAGACACTCTGTGTGACGTCACAGCCTAGCTGACCCTGCTACAACGGTGCGGCTTTCTCCCTTACTCGCTCGCTCTGCTGCTAAT